TTTGTCAAACGTGTGTAAAAAGAATGTGGTATAAACTGTGATATGATACTATATTTGTGATTATAAACTGTGAAAGGACTATTGTTTTTAATGCTTATTATTGTTTGTCATAACAGTCATATTGTTGAATAAGTTTTTACTGCAATGTTATGTTTGTGTTTTCTATGTTTAATAAATTCCTTTTTTTATGAAATGCGTGTTGTATATTTCATAAAATCACCCAGGTCTGATTTACATTACAGCAGCAGCCAGGACCAGTTGGAATGTAAACAGTTTGTTGATCACACCTTTATTGCAAATAAATGAATTTTACCCATCCAAACAGATGACTGGAATTTAAAAGTTTGGTTCTCAAGAATGTGATGTCTACTGTTTCATGACATTTAATTTGTTGAGTCATTAGGCTGAAAACTTTGATTGCATTGAAAAAGGAACGAAAATGCATGCAAAAGTCTGGTGTCATAATTTGTTATTAAATTGTTGCCTATTCAATGATATGAAAAAGCCTTCTTAAAATCATTGTGTTTAGACTGACAATACAGTTCATACTGATTATCCCCACTTCTGCTCTTCCACTGCTACCTTAATTAATGAATGCCAGTCAGTGAAACTAGCAACTATAAATCATGTGATGGCCACTTCTTGTCAATTCCACATCTAATATTGATGGAAATGGCAGAAAGTTGTTGTTTCATCATTTGAGTATCATTACCGCCAGGTTTCACCACATGTGCACATAAAGAACAGTGCCTTGCCTTGGCCTCTGATACTCTGTGGTGCAAGGAAAATTCATGAAACTCATTGTGTCCTATGTTTTGCATTTATCTGTTATTCAAAAATACAGTATAGAATATTATATTTTAGACAAGAAATGCAAAAACAGGTATGCAAAGATGTTATTACAACATTCTGTATCAAACAGGAACATAGAAAGGTGAGTATTATGGGCAAGTTGTAATGGTATGTACTATGCCAATGAGGCCTCAGTCTGATCCCAGAGTTGACTCCATACAGTTAATTGCATAGACCCAGAACTGACCAGATAAATAGGGCTGGACTGTACATACACATAAATACACCAATTATAACAACAAAACAATTTTAGGATTATACTTTTACAATTATTGTATGTTATTATTTTCCTATACTGAAAATATATATCTGATAGGTACTTACTTCCTCTCACATGAGAGCTATTCTTGTTCAGTGTTGTCCTCTATATGCCAAAAAGTTTTACACATGACACAAGCCTTGACTTTCCACAAACCCCAGGATAGATGTAGTTCAACTGTGTCTTGCATGTAATTCATCATGTGACAACCCTCTACCAATAGGAGTGTAACACACCCTACTGATGCATATGACTCCCCCTATTCGATTATATCAAACTATTACTTCAAGATTAGGTAGAAAAGGAAGCACCAGAGGTAAGTATCTATCGGAAATTTATTTTCAGTCTAGGAAAATAATAACTCCCGATACAGTACAGTACCTCTTATCACATTAATAGCTAGAATCCCACACTGAACAGGCAGAGGGACCAGTGTAAGGGATAGAAAGAAGTATCACTCAAAAGTGTCTGAAGAACACCAATGAAGTGCGATCCCCGTTGGGAAAGGAACACAGTCGTGGGAGACTGCACCACTCCTGTACCAGGTATACTCAGCATACAGTGTGGAAATAAGTGTCGCATACATTGGCTGTAAGTGGGAGGAGCACAACCAACAGGAAGAGAAAATCCAGGTGGGTTTGAATCCCAATCAGAATATACCGATATCATAATTCCAGTGAAGAAAAACTGTAGAAGAACCATCTACAGACAGGAATGTGGGGAAAGCTAAAATGGATGTACTCCAAGGTTTAGAGTGGCTAGAGTGCAATGGACCATACTTGGCCAGTCAAATCCAATCCAAAAACAAGCACCATTGGGATTACAACTTCTGACCCATGGTAGGAGGAGGATCCACACTGTTGCCACCACAAATTGATCTATTAAATGGGGCACATGTGTGCAAATCCACAACCACCCATACATCTGAATGATGGTATGAAGGGATGTGCCAATGTGACAGATCACATCAAACCAAACTCAATCATACAGTGACCCCACTGTGCAACATCAGCCTCAGGTTATGAAAACTATTATAGGTGGAGTGAGAGAGGGAGAACCTTTGCCCCAAAGAACATCATCCTCTGGATGGGACCCCACAAAAGCTGGAGCGCATGTGTGAGCAACATCAACCTCCGAGACCCACTGCACAGAGGTGGAAATGATGAGGCAAAACTACAAAATTTAATTAGGATGAGGAAACACAACCAACAAGTGTGAGAATTTATGTTGCTTGGTCCCATTCCAATCCAAAACCACTTACTGGGAACTGAAATACAGGTGATGGTAGGATGAGGGATCCCACTGCAATGTGATGGATCTACTCTAAAGCAACATTATCCTCCTGATAGGACTGCACAAAAGCTGGAGTGCAAGATCAACCTCTGGGTCCCACTGCACAGAAGTTGGTCGCTTCTGTAAAAGATACAAAACCTCACTCTCCAGCTAGAACCACACAGAAGCTGGGGTAACATCAACCTCTGGGACCTGTGGAGTGCATGATTGGAGGATTGAATGCCATCTATACCAGCAAAACACCACTACCATACTCTCAACTGAATGGAAGTGATCACATTCAGGAGCACTCCTCCATGGTTCACTATCCCAGTGGCTCGGAACTGTAAATTGGCAAGGACTCCTATACTCCACAAGAAGAACAATGTGGGATAAAATGGGGATAGTCCGGAGGAATGACAACAATGGAGACAGTGCAACAGGTAACCACAAAAACTCTAATTTGAAAAGCAGACCACCCCTGATTTACTAAATTGAAGGAATTACAGGGATGGGCATCTATCCCCTTCTCCTTTACCCATGTAAGTCCATGAGTTAGTATAATCTGGAACAACAAATTTATGAAGTTAAAGTATCGTGAGGAAAAACCTACTTGTGATCTTGTGGAAAATCACATCTCAACAGTGTGCATCATTGGCTATGGGTAGACACTGTGGCCATACAGTACAGACTTGAGAGATAGAAAGTATACCTTGAGAGGAAATGCTCGCCACTGAGCAGGATCCTAATCCTAAATGAACATGCTATTGAATGGAAATATATATTTATATATATAAAGAAAAGATAATTTACTCAGACACAGCCACACCAAAGATTGAAGGATGGTAACAAGTGGAAGGTGGTTTCACAACGAGGAAGAATCAACTACCCAATGAAAATAGTGGAAAATTAACATATGAGGTGTTGTCCACATGCCTGATTAAAGAATTTCTTCCAATGGATGATGGAGGTGAGACACCAGGAAAAAGGTAAGGTGCCCAGTCTGATGCCAATAGACTAAAAGGAGTAGGAATAAGTGTGAATGAGTAGGTGAAACAAGGAACATGAGGAAACAGGTTCAAATGGGCATCATCTGTTTGATATATTTGCTTCAACTTTTCACATATTTTTTTTTCCATTCCACATATGTTCTCCTTTATCTGGATCAATCATTCCTACTCAAAACTTTGGCAGCTCGTGAGAGACATTCTTCTTTCTCGCCAATTTCCATCCATTTCCTGCCTTTATTTCTGATCTGCTCCAGATAGACCTGAGGGTCTATATGTGAAAAGTTGAAGCAAATATGTCAGACAGATGATGCACATAGACTAAAAGGTTCAAATAGAGGGAGTGGAAGGCAGTGAAGAACAATATTGGCATTACAATCCATAAGAACCACATGAGGAGGTCTACAAATTCGGAAGGAATAGAAAAGGTACTTACTGGTAGGTCCAGTCCTGACTGAGAACATCCACTGCCAGAGTCTGAGGATGAGGAACTGGAGATAAAAAAAAAAGGTAACTTGGTATTTCAGTAAAGTGGTAAAAGCATCCCACTGATTGCATAGCCACCGGAAAACCGGAGGGTTGAGAGACCACTCGGAGGGATAAATCTACATGTGGGATGCAGTTGAACTACATGATCATGGGGTAGGCAGGAGTTCAAGGTTGTGGCATGCGTAAACATATTTATATATAAAGGGCAGCACTGAACAAGAACAGCTATACATGTGAGAGGAGGTAATGTGCCTTAATGGAAATTTGTAATAAGTAGCAAACACACAGTGGATTTAGCGTTGCTTCTTACTGATGGTAGGCCAGTAATAAATAAATTAGTACATCAACTAATGCATTGTTCCTCACATATTACAACAGGAATGAAGTCACTTCAATTTTACTTAGAAAAAAAACTCATAATTATCTCTAAGTAAAATGTTTGCTTTGTCATTTCAGTACCATTTCTTGGGTTCTGGTCAATAGAATATGGAAGGTCAGGGTATTCTATGAGAAGCCATTCTTTTTTTTTCCTATCTTCAATATTTCTGTTTAAACTCTTGATGGTTTTCTCTTTTTCTTCCACTTCCTTTTTAAGTTTAATAAGCTGAATAGTTTTGTCATTACCCTCACCCTACAAGTAAGTCATGATATAAATTCAGTTAAAAGTTATGTAAAAAAAATAATTTAGTAATTCACAAATCAATCAAAATAACCTATAGAGTAATTCTCGATTGAACATACTTCATGTACTACTCCAACACATTTTGCCAAAACAACTTGAGTTTTTCACATGTAAGCTCTTAATATTTTCTGATTTCACATCTAACAGTCACAGTTCAAGCAAAAATGTGTTTTATTTTGACTACTTTATAATATCGTAAGGAAATTTTTGTAACATATTTCTTTTTATGAAATGTTAAAATTTGATGAAACACCATAATATCAGCACCATTAATGTGTACCTTTGTGTGAACAAACGATTTATATCCAGCTTTTATGGCTACAAACATATTAAAAATTTGATCACTATGGCAAAATTATGCTATTTGTTTGAAGGAATTCTATCCATCACTCAATATCAAAACAGCTATGATTGTCATATAAAAGTTGATATCACTAACCTTCAAGGTTTTGTATTCAGCTTCTCTCAGTGTTTTCTGCTTTTCAAGGACAGAAATCTGACTCTTCAACTGTGTTATCATAACCTGGTTTGAGATCTCTTTCTCAGCTAAAGTTTCCAGCTGCTGGAGTAGTGAGCGAAGTTTGGCATCTAATACCTCAGAAATTTTAGAACGTATAATAACATTATATTTTCATAAACATAGACATATGTACTTAGAATATATATATATAATATTGTATTTGAAAAATAATTAATTTGTTCCTAATATTTAAAATATATGGCTTTTCTCCCTTAATGAAACTAAACAATATTTTAAAATGTATTAGTGAGAAAAGCAATGGAGTGGTGGTAATAAATGACTATAGTGGGGTACTGAAAGTGATACCAAATCTAATATTCTTTAGCTCAATATTGCATCATGTAAACAAATTTAAGCTTTTGACCCTAGAATCATGGTCCCCAAATACAAATCATGGACTCATTCAAAAATGAACTAAAGATGGAGTTGAAAAAAGAGAGGGTTCAAAATATCAGGCAAGAAAAAAATGCTTGTGGACAGGTAAATAAATTTGCTGGTAATTAGAAAGTAAAGACATACAATCCAAATGGCTAAAAAATTATTTAAATAGTGGAACTTTGTTCTAGCAATAACTAACTCTAGTAGCATAATTTATTTCTGTATTTGTTGGAGAGTCAAAACATTTTGAAATCTCTTGCCAGTGTCTATTAACTAACAATTTCTATATACATTTCTATATGTATATAAATTGTTTTTTCCCTTTAGAAGAGAAGGGGAAGATACCTGTTTTACAGCTGTTTGAAACTGCCAAATCATAAGCAAAGAACATTATGCATGAACATCGGATGACATCAGAAGCTTTTTTTCTTAATTAATGGTAAGTTCTTAAATATAAGGAAGACGTAAGCAGACATGAAGAACTATGCACACATTATTTTAAATGAATTCTGAAAATGTATCAAATTCCAAACATTGCTTAGTAGAGTTGTCATGAGTGATCTTTCTTTAAATTTCTATTTTCTATTTAAATGTCTATCTTCTGTTTGACATTTGTTACATAACATTTGGATGGTTGACATACAATTTCTTAACTTAATTCTTCCTTACATTAAAAAAACAAAAAAGTAAGCATTTCATTTTTTTCTGCCCATAATTGAAATAACACATGATGAGAAGACAGAACCGGAGACAAAGATCGGGGATGGGGCAGATAACACATTATGGATGGAGGAGAGAACGAATTTTGCACCTGACTGTCTCCAATTTTTGCACCATTTGTAGGATCACTGAGCAAACAGATTTACCTCTGCTGACCTCAAAAATGGTTTCACAAAATTTACAAGAGCAAACCTTCTACCTATGGCAGAAAACACAAGCCAGTTGTAGTTGAAAAGATTGAAGAAATGTATGGGCAGACAGAAGAATGTGGGCTCTTTGTTCATGAAAAAGTTGCATAGCTGGCAGCATCATCAGATAGGACTGTGGACTCTTTCTCTATATTCGTGTATCTTCGTTACTAAGGACCAGCATACTGACCATATTAGTGTTCCCTGATTAACTGCAAGGCCATTTGATGTGCTCAGTTAGCCAGTTCTGCTATTTCTGTGGAAACATCTCAAAGAAATCTCTAAACTTAATGTTTTTTTATGAGGATTATTTAAAATCAGCATTTCTGGAAAGGCACATGCACCAAGTTTACAAAAAATATTTTGGTTAATTTTTTTCCCTGAACAATGTGTTATGTAGGTAAACATACATAGCAAATGAATCATAATTTTAGTGAATGTCAATGTACAGAGTAGGGCAAAAGTGACTATACATCTTTTCCATTTGGTGCATATTTAATTTCTAACTATAACTTTAAAACAAACGATTAAGTTAGTTTCAATTTCTTCATAATATTTTCTTTATTATCATGTAACAGTAACTTTTGTCCTAGCCTGTATAGTCTACTTAGTTGGTTTTACTTTTTAATGTTGCTTTATTTTCAGCAGAATATAATTTTTATAATTCTTCTAGAAACCAGTCTAGCTGGTGAAGGGGAAAAAAATTAATTTTACCATGTAGAAAAACTTAAAAATTAGAAAAAGTACCATATCAATGTTTCTTGAATAAAAAAGGTATGATAATGAATTATATAATGTGCATTTAGATTATTTTTTTCTCTATAAAATCATCTTTGCATTCATTTAACAAATGAGCTTAGGTCATACGTGTAATGAATCACATAATTATGGCAGGGTTGGATCTTGTTATGATCTCCCTCTTCCTTCCACTTTATGACCAATATCCATGCCCTTAAAGGCTTGGCCTTTTTGCAATGCCAAGGAGGATTTTGTACTGGTCATCTTTGATTTATACAATAAGGTACAAAACACTGAGCTATATTGCATGCTTTTTTGACTCTTTCTCAATATGCACCTGCCACCCACTCACAACCATTAGTTAAATGCAATAAAGTACCAAGAAACGTATGGTATCATTGCTCAAAGTGACACTTTTGGTTTAGTTTGCTGATCATCAACTGCATTACTTTATTGAAAACTTTAACAGACCAAAAATTTTTTTTTTTTATCTTACACTTATTTTTCTCAGAACCAATGTTTTAATAATAATTAAGATTAGTTCATAAACTAATTTCTTCAATTTTAGGTGGAAATAATACTGACCTAAACACTATGACAAAGCACAGTGCTGAAATAACAATAATTATTTTTTCTAACAAAATCCTAAACAGTTAGATTAATTCTAAGATAATAGTCTATTGATTGTTTGTCACACAGTTTTTTAACATCCTTTTACTGCAAATACAATAAAATGTTTCATATTTTCTCAATTGTAATACTTTTCAATCTGCTATGATACATGATTGAGTGTGTTTGCTTTTCAGAATTTATACCTCAGGATGTTCTAATAATATTTTGATCTCACTTTTTTCTCTCCTTCTAGTTGAAGAAATTCAGTTTCCAGTTTTTTGATGACTTCTAATTTCTTGCATAAAATCTCATTTCTTTCTATCATTTCATTTCTTTCTTGTTGAAGATTGCTGATTGTAATTTCATCCTTTTTGGTTTTTTGTACTATGTAGTTCCAAAAAACATCTTAATATATATTCATTTCACACTTAATTTCTAAGTTCATCAGAGACTCACTACAATTCTGAATACCTATAATATTAATTAGCAATAGAAAGGTTTCCAAGGATAAAGAAAATAGTGGGCCTTGTAATGCATTTAGAGAAATTTAATTATTTTTCTTTTACAAAGTTTTTAGACAAAATAACTCTTAATTTAGAATAAATCTCCACAAAATTTTAGTTCAATCATACCTGCAACTTCTTTAATCAGTTTATTTCAGTAGAAACCTTTCATTCTTAATTCAATCAAATATTTTCAAAAGTGTTGAATGAATTTAATTTGTACAAGTTTCTGTACTTTATTCTCGAATTTAAAAACTAGCTACAACTTGTACATTTTCTGGTAAGTTTTAAAAATGTCAGTTCTACAACTTCTTGGATAGCATGTATTACTTGTACTTTCAAACAACATTCTTAAAACTTTGAAGACACCATAAGTTACTTTAAATGAAATCCATGCAATGCCCTGTGTGCTATAAAGCAATTTTAAATACATTAGACTTGTACTTGCACAAACTTTCAATAAACTTCAAGCACCAATGTTTCAATTCAATGTGCACAATAACTTTATTTGTATAATGTTAAAAACATGCTCTATGAGTTTTGGTGGACAGCATTATCCACCATCTTAGTCTTCTGAAAACACTGGTACCGTAATATTTACTCAAAGCAATTCTTTTTTAAGTTTAAAGGTAGTATGCATATATAACAGCAACACGAGACTACTTAGTTTACTGGGCTGACCAATACAAAACTATTACTTCCCTTGGTTGACTATCGTGATACTACTTATTGCATTTGGTCAACCAACATGAGATCACTTACTATGCTCAGATGATCAACATGAGACTACTGACTGCCCTCAACTGACCAACATAAGATTTTTTCCTGTTGACTAACAAAAAGATACTTAACATACTAAGCTGACCATCAGAAGACTTAGTGTTCTTAACTGACCTTCAGTAAAAGAATACTTACTGTACTCAGCTGTTTGATAGTTTTCTTGCTTTAATTTTGTCTGCAGGTCTAAAAGTTTGTCTTCCAAAGCCTTCCTCTCTAGTTCATTATTGGCATTCAAATTTTCAACTGGATAAACAGAAATAGAAACTGACATATTTTCTCATATTATGATTGCTTTTTTGTCAGTGAGAAGGAATACTCTTATGAAATCAAAATTAAAATTCTGATGATATGAATCAAACTCTTTTATTAAAAAAATACAAGAAAGGCAATTTTTGTTAAATCAGCAGATAATCAGAATGTTAAGAACTATTGAAAACATAGTACTCAAGTATTTTTAAACATGTACTAAGTGTTGTGAGCTTGAATGAATATATATAAAACGTAATAACAGAAGTTGTTCCTTCCTTTATTGTAGAATGGAACAAAGAGAATGTTGCACTTTGAGGGTTTTATGTGTCGCAGTTAGCCTGCTTTGCTGATCTTATGTATTCTTATTATAATAACTGCATTCTACCAAATTTATTTTTATGCCTTTCAGCTGTCATTAAAACCAACATTCCAAACTGTTGATTTCCTGAGAAGGAAACCTTCATAATTTGTGATACCTAATCTAAAGTCAATTACATTGAATACAACAGGTTCAATAAGTCTAACAACAAAGTATTCTGTATGAAGTGTTTAAATGCTTTTAGGAAAAATGTAATGTCAGTTACTAACTCTTTAATAAAACGAATACTGAAACAAATTTAAAGAATTAGATCCCATATGATAATTGATGTTATATGTTAACTCAAAATCTACATATTTAAGAACACAAATACACACTCTGAAAAAAAAAATTCCAGAGATAGTCTTGAAATTCTGATACATAAAAGAAGTATTGCTCACACCATTAAGTACTGGCAGACTAACATCCAATTCCTACCAATGCAAGTATTATTTACATTATGACAAAGGTTTTATGTCCAAAATGTCTTTCTGATATTAAATGTCTAACACCTCATACAAACACGTAGAATAATTGAGCCTGTTTAACTACTTCTTGGCATTCTGGTCATCCTTAACCTAAAGCGCAGTAAAACACCTTTTTCTGATTCTGCATCTAAAATCTTCTGTAACTCTTCAACAGTCTTATGGTGTACCTTCTTCAAGTTTTCTAAATAAGCTATTTTCTTTTTTAACTCCTCTTCTAACTCCAATGCTTTTTTCTGGTAGTAAGTTTTATCTTTGTCTTTGCATTCGGACTCCTCATTCAAAGTTTTTATTTTGGAAATTAACAAGTTCATTTTCTCAGCAACCTGCCAACATGTGAAAAACATGCTTTGAGGACCTTCATTTGCAACTTTCTGAGTAGTAACATTATTTTCAGTCAATGAATTATTGCCATGTAATATCTTTAGTATTTCACAAAGATGATTAGAATTAGGGCAGATGAAATTTTCTGTTTGTATTTCTTGGCTTGCCACTGATGGTTCAAACTTTGTACATGTTAATGTCCCATAAGCTTTCACCTACAAATGGAACAATACAGTAACAATTAAGGAGTAACAATAACAAGTTCAGTCCTATTAAAAAATTCAAACCATTAAAATGACTTTTTCAGCTTTATTCTTATGCCAAAGCTAACATAATTGAAACAGTAGATAATAAAGCACAAAGTCTGAAACATGATCACTTCAATGAAAGTACGTGAAAATTGATCAATGCACAATGTAACACTTTACAACTGTGGTAACAAGCCAATGTCCAGTCAGTTAAATTTATTGTTACAATACATGGTTTATAAATCAATGGTGATAAAGTGAAATACTACTGATACTGGCCATGTATATTTTAACTTCAGTTAATATGCAAAATAGGAGTAGGAGCAGAAATTAAGTAATTGTATAAAGTTAGCATACAGGTTGCTTTGGGTGAGGGTGAGAATGTGTGTACACAAGGGTGCACAGTAGTAATGACATCAGGGCTATAGATACTGGTTTAGTAATTGAATCAACCCAAGTGAACTTAGTGACAAGAAAATATAATTATTTAGAGGTTGAGATACAACTGTGATATTCATAGTGTAAATAATTTTTGTACATAGTTTGACTTGATTTGAATACATTACTTTAAAACAAGTGGAGTGTGTGCTGTCCATTTATTGTTGAATTTATCACCAACAAGTCACAGACACCTACTGTTGAAGAGTCCTCAGCCCACTCATACATAAAACCCTGACAGAGCATAACAAATTGAATAATAGTTTTAAAGATAATTCTTTCAGATTTAAAGATAAATGTGGTAAATTCAAGAATAGGCTTAGTTTCTATTATTCTAACAGCATTAAGAACAAAATGGATGAGTTAGGGCCCAAGCTGAAATAGAAATACTGAAATTTTGTTAGATTTGAAGAATACCGATAACAGGATTTATTTTGAATGTCCATGGTATAAATCATTTACTATCACAGACCTTTTTAGAAAGAAGAGTGGTCTGTTAGGATTAAAGGCATAAAAAATGGTAGTTGAGGAGCTTGAGTCTATACAAGTTAGAATAAAGAGTTTCAAGGATACTAAGATTTTATTTGGTAATGAGGTTAATGAGAAATTGTATAATGAAATCAGGATTGCTACCAATACAAGTACTAATGAGATTTTAAACTCATTGACTGGAACTGTACTTTGACAAATATTGAGGGAGAGAGATTTATTTAAGTGATTCTGGATGGTTTTCTAAACCAAATGGTCAGAGAGTCAACCAGAAGGAATTATTACATTTTAGATTTATCATTAACCACTAATGCTTGCAAGAGTTGAGGAAAGGGAACATTTGGATAAAAGTGATTATTGCATAATTAGGTTTGATGTTTTGTTACATGTTGAGATAAAAAGATGTGAGATCTTTATTTCTAATTTTTAAAAAGACAATTTTAGGCCATGAAACAAGATTAATTTATCATCAGTGAATAAGGAAAATGAGTTAAAAGATGATGTGACACAGATATAGGATATATTTGAAAATAAGTTGCTTTTAATTCAAGACAGCCATGTTAATAAAAAGAGAATAAGGATAACAGGGATAATCAAACCTAATTGGCTTTCTATAGACATAAAAGAAAGAAAATCTGGGATAAATGTCATAAATTTAGAAAGTTTAAACAGCTGGTTGATAATGTTAAAACTAACAGCAAGGATTCTTTTATGTAAGCTAAAGGTAAAAAAAAAAGAGGTTAAAATGGGAATTGGTACCTTAAAAGATATTGGTGGCAAAATTTTGTTTAGAGAGTGTAAAATGGATGAACCTTTAAACATTCTATTCTCTTCTGTTTTTACAAAAGAAGAAATGAGCAATATTCCTGACACTCAGCTACTATTTTATGGGAAAAACTGGAATTGACCTGAAACATATATATATTATTCCTTTGGTTTTAAATAGTACTACTGAGAGACTGAAAATAAACCACAGCTAGATAACATAATTGACCTGCTCTATTTCATTTTTGGCAGGTCAGTAGACATTGAACAGCAGCCTCAAGATTGGAAAGTTGCCAATGTTACTCCTATTTTTAAATGGGGTAAAATTAAAGGCTAGTTAGTCTTACTTCTGTAGTGAGTAAAATTCTAGTTTCATTAAAAAAGCTCTACAAAATCAATTATTAAAATATGTTATCATAAATGAAAGCCATGAATTCACCAAATTTAAAAGAAATCTTATCTTTTTTGAGGATTTTACTTAATTATCTGGACAATGAAAAGTGAGAAATTGGTGGACAGAGGTTTTCAGAAATCCCATCATAGAGATTGAGGAAAGACTAATTAATTTGATTGTAAGGTGTTTTGATAGGAGAAAGCAAAAGTTTGATATTAATGGAGTCTAGTCAAACTTCATCCTTTCCACTAGTGTAGTGTACAGGGTCAGTACTTGGGCCTTTGTCTTTTCTTATTAACATTAATAATATTGATAGGGGAATAATTAATAAATAAGTTAAGTTTGCTGATTACATTAAACCCTTCGGGTATTTCTAAATGTGATGAGTATGGTGATGTATTACAAAATATCTTTGATCAATTAGTAAGTTGGGAAAGTCTTTGTCAAATGACTTCTAATTATAGTAAGTGCAAGGTAACAGATTAGGGTTTTCATAATGGATCACACATTTAATAGATATGGGAAGTAACCCTCTCAATAATGTGACAGAAGAAAAGGGTTTTGACACTGTGGTGGATAAGTCAGATGAGGTACTCAAGCCATCAAGGCAGTGCTAAGTTGCTAGTAAGGTGTATTTATAGACATTTTTATTACAAGAAAAAAAAAATCTCTTTACAAATCACTAGTTTAGCCTCACTTGAAATACTGTGTTTTGGTCTCCTTATCTAAGAAAGAAAACTGACTTCTTGGAAAGGGTTCGGATAAGGGCTATTAGGATTATCTTAAGGATTGAAAAGTTATTTTACAGTGATAACTTAAGATCTTAAATTTATTTTCTCTTGAGAAAAGACAGGTAAGAGGTGATCTTACTGAAGTACATTTACAGATTATATCCAGGGATTGACAGTGTGTTATTTTCAGACAAATGGATTTCCCAAAAGAGTAAAGTAAGTAGATCCACTATACACTTTGGGATGTTTGGCAAGATAAATTGTAAAGTATTACTGAGTTCCATTAAAACTAAGTCTATGCTAAGAAATAAATGGGCTAGGTAAAAATTATGATATAGAATGGAAATAATCTGTATTCATATTAGCTCATGATGCTCATCCATCAGGAAATCTCAAGATCAGTCTGTTAACAGATGTAGTGCTGTTAGCTATAGTGAGCTATCCCATGTCTAATGCACTAGCAAGGTGAGGGTCATACAAACAATATATTGGTCAAGTGACATTTCTAAGGGTTTTGTGAGTGCTCATGCTCTATCTCGGCCATAGATGATATATCCCTAACACAGTTGAATTCCACTTGTTCAAGAGTTCAGCTAAGTTCATAGATCCAAAAAAGGGTCTTAACCACTCAATACAATCATGACATGTTCTAAAATTATTTCAGAGGTGGCATCATAAAAACTATACCTTTGTCAAGTGACATTCATATGGGTTTTGCATTCACTCATTCTCTATATCACCCATAGAATATATATATCCCTAACACTTGTGAACCTTCTCAGTCAGCCAAGCTTCAGTAAGTCCCCACTTGACCAATACCTTTATGTATAGCTGTGTTGCCTTCTGTCATTCCCACTGGACAACAGCCAAACACAACTTATCTTTCGACCTATTCTCATTCCCTTTACTATTGTTGGCTCAGCTATCACACGAATACAGCCTGATTCCAATAGGAAAAAATGGTGGTTGAGACTACAATACTAGTTCTTACACATGAGCTGACTTAAGTTAGGTGATGTAACCTTTACTTTTGACTATTAGATTCTACTAATATATATATACATTGTATCTCCTTAGGAACTTTATCTAGTTACAAGTTTAGTACTAGCTCGGTGAGACATAAAATGTTTCACCACACAGGTCTTACTTTCCACCTATAGCAGTACTCTCACAGCCTGCATTTTCATGCATTACAAATGTATCTTGTACTGAAACAATGTTCAGATAATATTTAGAAAACTGTGTGCTTAATGTTGCTATTCAGGAATTGTTTCAACTCTCACATGGTGTCCTGGATTAGGACATTCAATGAACACACAGGGTCTTACCATGTGGCAAAAAAATCTATCTGCATTTCTGTGTTGCAGGAATTGGCAATGTACTAGGACAAAGTCATATTCTTGCAAGATTGTTATCCAATGTGCTATCAGCCCTTCTTGATTTTTAAAGTTCATTATCCATTTCAGCAAACCATGTTCACTCTGAAGGTGAACCTTCTACCATATACGTAGTGTCAACAGTGCTTTACAAAGACCCAAGCTACAAGCAGTTTTTTCCTTGTTGTACACATGTACAGTATCTGCATTCCGCACCAGAAAGCGTACTCTAGCAGATTCAATTACACATTCTACTCTGTCTTGCAACTGTGATAAAACTGCCTCAATCCCTCCATCCCTTGCATTGGTGTCCAACAGGAACTTCATGTCTTATTGTGAATATGCCAGCTTTAGGGATCAGAATGCTTGTTCATACTCCTCACTCCATCCAAAGTGCATCTCAATTTTGGTAAGAACAGACAATGGTTCTCACCAATAACTTTAATGTAAAACCATTTATGCATAATGTTAATTTATTTAAAAAACAAATTGAAAAATAATGGTTATCTGGACTGGTTTAGTAAAAATTATTTTTTTACTTTTTTATAATAAATATGAAACTATATTAAGGGTTAAGCTCTCGTTCAAGAAGAATACATTATGGAAAATTTAGAGAGCATTCATTACTTGGATTAAGTAGCTAATTGTCACTTTTAGAATAGTTCAGTATACTGGGGCAGAAAGACCATCTTCATGTAGCTGGGCTTGTCTCAGCATAGCCGGTTTATGCTTGAACAGTAAGGGTCTCTTACTTTGGTTAACATCAAATAAAAT